CAACCCCACCCCAGTCTCAGAGTTTTCTTCTGCCCCGTGTCTCCACATCCTTCATTTTCCTTCTGTCGCCCTCACTGCCCTCCTCTTCCTCCTCCTCCTCCTCCTCTTCTTCTTCTTCTTCTTCACACAAACACAAACACTGACATCATTAAAAACACCGACCACTACAGTAAACCACTGTGGGGGGGTTTATTTGTGTGCGTCGACCAGATTCACAGCCGTGGGTCACAGTGACAGACACAGTGACAGACACAGTAACAGACACAGTAACAGATACAGTATCAGACACAGTGACAGACACAGTAACAGACACAGCGACAGACACAGTAACAGACACAGTAACAGACACAGCGACAGACACAGTAACAGACACCGTAACAGACACAGTAACAGACACAGTAACAGACACAGTAACAGATACAGTATCAGACACAGTGACAGACACAGTAACAGACACAGCGACAGACACAGTAACAGACACCGTAACAGACACAGTAACAGACACAGTAACAGACACAGTAACAGATACAGTATCAGACACAGTGACAGACACAGTAACAGACACAGTGACAGACACAGTGACAGACACAGTAACAGACACAGCGACAGACACAGTAACGACACAGTAACAGACACAGTAACAGACACAGTGACAGACACAGTAACAGACACAGCGACCTCTAGCTTCAGCTGCAGGAACTTAACTACTTTCACCACATTGTGACTTTTTCTCCACCTTCTCCAACAGGAGGCGTTCAGCTCTGTCTACCTACACACACACACACACACACACACACACACACACACACACACACTTTGGCAAAATCATTGTTCTACATGTGTTACAATAAATCTGTTCTGGAAGTGTGTGTGTGTGTGTGCAACTGTGTTCCAGCATGACCCCCACCCTCACACACCCTCACCCCCCCAACACACACACACACACACACACACACACACTATGCTATCACAAACCATATGTCTTCACAGCAAACATCTGGGAGTCATTCCCCCCCCCATGGCTCCCCTCCTTTCCCAAATACAGTCCCCCTCTCCCCCCCCCCTCTCTCTCTCTCTCCACACACACACACACACACACACATTGGACCAACAGGAAGTTCCTCCTGCCGTCATCCTCCTCTGCATCTTTTGATGTGACTCAGGACAAATGAATGAGAAGAAGAAGAAGAAGAAGAAGAAGAAGAAGAAGAAATCTGGACTCATGTCTCCGTGTGTCCTCGCTGACCCTCCCGCTGATGTTTTTCCTCCCTCCCTCTCCCTCCCTCTCTCTCCCCCCTCCTTGGCACCACTCCGTCCATTGTGGTGCCATTGCTGCAGGCTGTCTCGTGGAGTCCCTCCTCCTCCTCCTCCTCCTCCTCCTCTTCCTCCTCTTTCTCATTCCCTCTCCAGTGAAAACACAGGACCACATGTCAGACATTCACCTTCACACAAATCACCGTCCTTCACAATCGGATTACTCCGCATAAACTGATTAACATCTGGAGGGGGGAGGCAGGAGGAAGAGGAGGAGGAGGAGGAGGAGGAGGAAACCCTGACCGGACTGTCACCGTGCACGCGCCCGATCGTTTTTCCTTCATAACTTTGAAGCAGAAGTGAAGCCGTGTCGCCGCGGTGCAGAGACAGAAGCAGTTTTACAGAAAATGCACGAACAAAACACAACTGTTTCTCTCTCTCTCTCTCTCTTTCTCTCTCTCTCTTCAGCTTCTTACCTAACTTTGGTTCGCGGTTCTCCGGCTGTTCCTCGGCTCTCATGCGCCCTCTGAGCGCTGGAGATCGCAGACACACATTGTACCACCCAGCATCTCCAGTCTCCTCCCAGTCTGTCCAGCCTCCAGCCCCCAGACCCGACAAGACCACACTCACTCTGTGTGATGGTTGCCGGTTCACCACCACACCAGAGAGAAACCATCAAAACACCGCAGTTTACGGTTACAGCTGTGGCCGTGAAGGCATCGCGGTGAAAACAAAAGGGAAGTTTAGACTCAGGGGAGGAATTATCGACAACTGTAGAGGAGAGAAAATGTCAACAACGGGAGTTAGAAGTATTAACAAAAAAAGTCTAAAGATATTTAGACAGTTTAGAACTGAACTGAGGAAGAAAATAGAACAAGAAGAAGACGCAGTTGTTTTTACGCTCCTTTCTCTTTTAACATTTACAGTTTGTTAGCATTTAAAATTGTTGACAAGCCAAGTTGTTCATATAATAACATTATATCGGTATGTCAGTATATCGGCCGTTGTTAACTCAGTAGTATTATTAGTAGTATTGCAGTATTATTGGGTAAAATTAAGTACAGAATAACAACTCTCTGCGTTCCAACTTATTTTAAATTTGTAACAAACAACGTCAAATCTTTGAAACTAGTGAAAAACAAAGTCAAACTGAAAGAAATCTCCGACTCATCTCGTCCCACTGCCCACTGTTCTAGTGTCGCTATAAACTCCACTGTTTGGTGTTGTTTTCTACGGAGTCCCTTAAGGGACATAAATAAGTTTTCTACGGAGTCCCTTAAGGGACATGGGGAATCAACAGATAAATAATCGTTCCAGGTGCGCACGGATTTGGGATCGCCATGAGTGAGTAACGAACTTCGTCTTTCTTGACGTCTAATCCACTCTCTCTGTATTTCGTGTCCGTCCACCTGAAGACAGAGCCGGACAGGTGTTTGTAGCTGTTCTTAAACTAAATTAACTACACGATACAAAGCGTTTTATCATTAGCCACAAACGGACTATATGACGTCACGAGTCTTTTTAAGTGATTTTCGGACACAACGTAACTATGCCGACGTGCAAGCAACGGAGCAGTGTCCTAATGAAAAAAGTCCAGGTATAAATATAAACGAACTAACTTCTGTACTGACATTTTTTCATACAGGGGAATGTAATAGGCTACTTTCAGGTGCGCTACCCACATGTCCCTCTAGGGGGCGTCAAACTCAAACTCACAGTGGGCCAAACTCAACATTTATTGAAAGATTGACGATAGTTGTTCATGTTTTTCCTTCTCTCCAGATCTGAACGATGTTGATCTTTTTTTAAATGTTGAAACAAACTTTATTTTTGAGTAAACATTGAACCAGGAACATGAGAAACTCTGCTTCAAACTGTTCTGTTTGGTGTCGTTCTCTTCTGGTCGCCTGTTCCTGTTCGTCTTTACTCCTGTATTTCCGTGTGCTTCTGCTGTGTTTTTAACTTTTTTGTGTTTTTTGTAAATGGATTAAAAAGCCAGTGAATGTGACGTGGATCGAAACCAAAACACTGACAGACAGATACAGTAGATGCAGCTGTTTATGACTTTTAATAAACAACAAGATCGATTCAATCCCTTTATTTTTACTTTCACATAATTACAATCCATGCTCTTTTTGATCTGTGGGAACAAATACATCGTGTGTGATTGGTTTGTGCCCGTATTTACTGACGTAAACTGACAAAAAAAAATCTGAAGAACTTTTTTTTTAATCTGTGTAAGGACAGTATTGGCAAAATGTCACGTCTCATATTGAATGAAAACAAAATGAATAAATACTGTTGTTGTGGTGGTACATGTAAGACTCAGCCACACACACACACACACACACACACTCTTCTCTGCATTCACACTGTACATGTGCGTTTATATACCAACAAGTTCTCTATTCACACCACTCCACACATCCATCCACACACACTTGTTCCATGATCAACACATGGTTTTGACTCTTGAGTTGAGTGGTGACCTTTGACATTTTGCTCACTACGGCCAATCATTCTTGAACGTTTGGATTTGTTCTCACAGCCCCAAAAAAAAAGAGACACAAACACATGTATTCACACAGGATGGTGGCGGCCGAGTCAACTTAGTGTACAGCAGACCTGAGAAAGCGATCAATTCCTTTATACAATACATACTTTAATCATGGATGGAAAAGTTCAACGCCAGGGTTGACATTCAAAGCTTCAGGCAATCGCCCGCTGCTCCTTGTACGTGGCCATCATCTTCTTGATCTCAGCTATCGCTTTCCCAGGGTTCAGCCCCTGAAAGAAAAACACCAACGTTGACAGATTAGTTATAGGAACAATTCAGTGATATAATAGGACTTCATCTTTGAGAGAATCAAGACAAATAAAAGAGTAATTTCCAGGGAGAGTGTAGACGTAGATGACGTGTCTTACCTTTGGACAGGCCTTGGTGCAGTTCATGATAGTGTGGCAGCGGTAGAGGGAGAACGGATCCTGCAGCTTGGCCAGACGCTCCTCTGTGAACTCGTCACGTGAATCAATCATCCAGCGATAGGCCTGAGAGAGCAGAGGTTTACAGATGATCCAGTCTGGTGTCTTCTAATTCAACCATTAATACATTTGATATTTCATATACACGCACACACATACCTGCATGAGCACAGCAGGTCCAAGGTATTTGTCTCCGTTCCACCAGTAACTGGGGCAGCTGGTGCTGCAGCAGGCACACAGGATGCACTCGTACAGTCCGTCCTATTTACGTGAAAGGCAGGAGAGGGAATGTATGTTCATGTAAAGCTCCATAAAACCTGTCAGTTCATGAATGATGTATGAAGGTGAGTCATGTACCAGTTTTTGTCGGTCTTCCACAGTCTGCAGGTACTGTTCTTTCCCCTCCTTGGTCTCATCCTTCTTCTTCAGGTAGGGTTCAATAGACTTGTACTGTGCGTAGAAGTTACTCATGTCCTACAAACAGAGTCTAATTACCTCTTTGAACAGTTGTGTGTCACTCAGAGCAGTTCAACATTTTTTACTGAATAGCTGCATTAAATATCTGGTAAAAGACCAGATATTTTCACCAAAACAATATCACTGACTATTTCTTTTTTTTTCTCATCCTGAAATCGTTCTTACTTAAAGACTTTTCACTTACAGGCACTAGATCTTTGACCACATACATGTGTGGCAGAGGGTAGATCTTTGATGGCTTGTTCAGGTTGGTATCGATCCTGTTTAGACAAGCAAGTGTGTTTCCTCCATTAATGTTCATGGCACACGATCCACAAATACCTGCAAGAACATTTATGAACCATTGACAGTGCTGTTTATAATTTGGGGAATCTGAAGGCAAAAAAATAATAAAAATAACAATGTTAGCATTGCTGTAATAACCTATTGTGATACTGACCCTCTCTGCAGGAGCGGCGGAAGGTCAGGGTGGAGTCCATCTCATTTTTTATCTTGATGAGTGCATCAAGAACCATTGGGCCACAACTATATGATGACAAAAACATTAATCACTTATTAAGTGTTTTATTCTTGTCTCAACTTTTTTTTTTTACAACATCACAAAACATTGGATCAAATAGCTTTTCTCAAGCCTCCACACAATAACACCTACGTGTTGAGGTCAATCTCATAGGTCTGCATGCGAGGTTTGTCTCCTGGAGTGTCTGGGTCCCATCGGTAAATCTGAAACTTTTTTATTCTGGGCTGAGCTGCTGGAGCTGCTGCTGTTTGAGCACATCGCACCGCCTAAAGCAGGAACAAGCACAGAAGAGACGTAATCATTTTAGTTGTTATGTATACACATTACGGCGTCAGCGTTAGGTAATGTACGCGACATCTTAAGCAATGACACTATAAAAAGTCACTGCCACCAAAACAGTGTAATTAGCCTAAGGTCAAATTCACATACAATTTGTATTAAGAAGGCTCATATATACAGTACTGTACATTAAAATAGTTACGTAAACATCAGGGAGTGTCATTCGCTTTACTATAACAATCTTAACGTTTAAAATGTCTTAAATTCTCACAATACTACACATTTGAGTAACTAAGTATGCGCTTGAGCTTTAGTGTACGGAAGACTGTAAAACTTGAAAACAGTGAACGTTACTGTCAGACAAATTGTTAGCATTTTTAGCCGTTAGCAGACTACGTAACATGTCACTTCACTGATTCCACTGTTACGTTTTAACAAAAGGGACACATTTCGTAGCACGTTAGAGTCTGGCTGTAAAAATAATGGAAATTCAAACATACCCCCAGTGCTGTATGACAGCGGAGTGCCGAAACTGTACAGCGGCTCAAGGACGTCAACCCAACAGCCGACATTTTGGAGCTTCTCTGACCTATGCTACCCGCTATCCCAGCATTCATTGCGGCCGCGTCAGTGTCAGTGGTAGTTTCGTTTTTTTACCTATACAATCTGACGGGGCGGTGAACAGCACACAACTACAGCGGTTGTGAAGACACATACCCCGAAGTAAAAACAAACGTACATTCTACCCACAAGAGTGCGCATGTCTGCGATTGCTGGGGAGACTTTACAGTACACGCTTGTCTTCCAGACGAAGGTAGAGTAAGGTCACTTTATCGTTGTATCTCTGGGAACTTTGCCGTGAAAACGCGGCTGCAGGTCAAGCATGGTTTTCCTAACGCTTCCGTGTTGGATCAGAAGTCGAGGACCTGACAGATACTGGAAGGTTCAGGAACTTCTCAAACATGCGCGGGTAAGGTCAGAATAATGTCCTGGTGTGTGTAGACTAAATATCCACATGGGTTTTTATTATTTGAATCGTTAAGATGAGATCTTTAATATATACTGTCACATATCGATTTCTCATTGGTTTCTTTATTCTTTTCTTTTCCAGCACTTCAGAGGTAGGAAGAACCGCTGCTACAGTCTGGCAGTTCGAGCTGTCAGACGGGCTTTTGTTTACGCCACCAGAGGCCGAACGCTTAAGAAAAGAAATATGAGAAAGGTGGGTAATATTATCTTACACACAATCAGCTATATATATATATATATATATAATATTTTATATTTTGCTCATTCATGAACAGAGCGATAAATATTTCAAATCGTAAATCATATGTTATATTTTTCAGCTGTGGATCACACGCATTGCTGCAGCATCACGAGAGCATGGCATGACGTATCCAGCCCTAATTCACAACCTCATAAAGGTTAGTTATGACACATATTGCAGCACTTTACCACAAGTTTTATAAATTAACATCTGATGTCACATGATTTTACCAATGTCTCTTATCTCGTCCCCACAGAGCAGCGTTCAGCTGAACCGAAAGGTTATCAGCCAACTGGCCATCACAGAACCTCGTACCTTCCTCTCACTCACAAAACTGGCAAGGGCTCGACAACAAGAAGGGTTACAAGCAGCGCTTGGTGATGGGAAAGAACCTCCAGGTGTTTTCTCCCGTATAGTAGTAAAACAATAATTAAAAAGAAGCTGCTGTTGTTACTTATTTGTTCATATTGTTTGTTATGAAGAGCAGATCTCTAGATTGTTGGTAAATCTGAAACTGTTCCACCACACACTTGTACAGACATGTATCTGTATTTTGGATAGGCTTGGATTTTAATTGACAAGCTCATTGTCTGATCTCTCTCTGACCCCTAAAAGTTTTTTCTGTTATTAACACCCGGTTCCCAGAACTCATGTCATTAAAGTACACTCTCATATTACGTGTGGGGCAGTGTCACATCTTCAGGAATATTGGCCTGAATTTTAAGACTTTAATGGCATCCCATGATATTTAACAATGTCAGAGGGTTAATAATTCATGTCTACGAATAGGATTACGCATAAAACAAATGATTGTCTCATCAGTAGATGACTCTGCTGCTCGTTATTTTTGGTGTTACCTTGGAGGAGGTGATTTTACCAATGTCTTTTTATTTTCTCTGTGCGTACGTCATGTTTGGACCTCATCGTTGTGAGGACTTTTTGCTTTGTACAAAAGTATGTTTATTTGTTTTTTATTACACTTCCCTGTGTAACGGTTCCTGTTAATTGCAATAAACATTTTTTGTAATTGCTGTGGATTTCAATTGAATTTTACTCAAGATATGAAGCATCTTATTCATAAATACTAAATAGCAATAAGGGCATGGTTGTCAGAAAAATGTTTACTGATGTTACAAATCAAATTTGAAATACAGTTGTTAAATTTTCCATCGATTCATACAAACTGTTTTCTTGTAAAACAAAGTTTATTTTTCAAGACAAGACAAATATTCCTAATGTATGTACATATAAACTAACATTGTAGTAGTAGAGTCTGACATTTGCATAAATTAAAAAGGCAATGAGTGTCTAAGGAAGCCATTGAAGGTCACACAGTATTTTGGACAAAAAAACCCTCATTGGTTCTCAGCCAGACTTTGGTTGTAAATACTGAACTTGCGTTGGACCAGGCTTTCTTCCTTTTCAATTAAAAGGACTCTATGACCTTGAAAAACAAAACAAATGTTTAATATATTTCCCCCTGTATTTTTTCCTAAATGGCTTCTAGTTTAAACTAAAACTAGTTTGTACATTTACGTTTTTATATGCCTTATTTTCAATTTATTTTATATCCACCACACTTCAATACCTAATTGTACTTTATGTGTGACCTTTTACTGAAATAACCTGATGCAACCAAAGGAAAACTGCGCTCTTTTGACGAGTCTTGTAGCCTTTCTGGACCACTGCGGCCGCCGTACCAATTCTGGGCAGGGCTGTGGGTTACGTCAAAAACATTTTAACCAATGAGAAAACGGCATACTGAAATTCAACCAATCAGCGTTTCTGTTATTCAGCGAAACCTGCGTTCTGTGACAGACTTGCGCAGATTAGATGACTGCGGCGAGACACACGTGTGGAGGAAGTGACATATGTGCAGCGGCGGTAGCACCAGCGGCGGAACCGTCCATTCATAACTGTTTCATTCATTCTCCTTAAAATGTCTTGGCTCTTCGGCCTCAACAAGGGACAGCCTGAAGTGCCGCCCGGCTTCCCCGTTCAGCCTCCTCCTCCTCCACCGACACCGCCGGCCGGAGGCTCCAGTGGTGGTGGCGGCGGCGGAGGAGATAAACCCAAGGACAAATGGAGCAACTTCGACCCCACCGGGCTGGAGAGGGCTGCTCAGGCGGCCAGGGAGCTCGACAAGTCACGTAAGTGTCCAGACACTCCCGTCAGCTCCGTGGGACGGGTTTGCACCAGTGTGGAGGTTAATGAAATCCCTGCTATTCTGTAGTACCGTGGAGAGTCCGTGCACCGGCATCCAGCTCCTCTGGCTCGGGGTGGGAGATGTAGTGATCTGATGAGGCCCACAGTTTGATACCACTGACAGCATCAAGTGTTAGTGATCTGATGAGGCCCACAGTTTGAAACCACTGAATGCATTTGCTGCACACAGTTGTAATTTGAATGCGTTGTTTTTTGGAGTGCGTCGGGAAAATAAGCAATTCTTAGTGACAAGGTTCAAAGGTCATCATTAGCTTGTAGCCTGGTTTACTTTGCTAAATTCCACTTGAGTCACACACGGGTTTGCTAACATTGTGTCATCGGTTTATCGCTGTAAGGAGAGCAGCAGAATAGATGCAGTAATGCAGGAAAATTTAGACAAGGTCCGACTGTTGCTTTAAATGCTTTTACCACACAAGCTAACCTCTCACAGTTGCCACTCACTTATCATTTTATCATAAAACAATTCCACCTAGTTTTTTAGTTTTAACGTTAGCAAAACAACCTTTTTTGTATCCAGTAGATCACTCTGTCTAACCTTAAAATAACTTGTTTTTATACATTTTAATTGTGTTTTCTATTATTTTTTTTCCCCTCTTCTTGGAGCAGGAAATGCCAAAGAAGCTCTGGATTTGGCTCGCATGCAGGAGCAGACCACCCAGATGGAACACCAGACCAAGATAAAGGTAGGGCAACACCGACATTGATCTGTATGAAAACTGTCAGATATTTTATATGTTGTTTGTATTCAGTTATTCTTCTTTACGTGTTGTGATAACAGGAGTATGAAGCAGCGGTGGAGCAGCTCAAAGGAGATCAGATTAGGATTCAGGCCGAGGAAAGGAGGAAAACGCTGAATGAGGAGACCAGGCAACATCAAGCGGTATATTTGACTGTTTATCTTTAAATGTGGATAATAATAATAATAATATTTACAGTAGGATTGAACATTTATGACATCCTGTTGCAGTTGTTGTAACGTTCTCTTTTACCACAGAAAGCGCAGTACCAAGATAAACTGGCCAGACAGCGATATGAAGACCAACTGAGGCAGCAGGTGAGAGGTCATCCTCCACGTTTAGTTTGAATGAGATGCAGAAGCAAAATTATTCAACTTTTTTTTCCCCTTCTCAAACACAGCATGCACAGAATGAAGAGAATCTCCGCAGACAAGAGGAGTCGGTACAAAAACAGGAAGCCATGAGGAAAGGTGAGTGTACTTCATGACAGTGACATCCCCCCCCCCCATGCACCCAAATGGGTTTTACCACTTAATTCATCACTGCTTCTGAAACTCTTGAGCCTCGGTTAAGGATACGTGTTGTTCCAACTTTTATAGCAACGATAGAACACGAGATGTCGCTCAGGCACAAAAACGAGCTCCTGCGGATCGAGGCTGAATCTAAAGCCAGAGCCAAAGTGGAGAGAGAGAACGCCGACATCATCCGAGAGCAGATCCGTCTGAAGGCGGCGGAACACAGGCAGACTGTTCTGGAATCCATAAAGTAAGACACAAAGATGTGGCCGCAGAAATCACGGCTCAATGTTGAGAATAATCCGATTGATTCCTCAGATTCTTCACAGTCGTATATATCTTTATTCAGTTCTCAATATTTTAAAACTATTTCATATTTCTCTCAGGACAGCAGGAGCTGTGTTTGGAGAAGGATTCAGGGCGTTCATATCGGACAAGGACAAAGTCATAGCCACGGTGAGTCGGCCTCGTCCATGTGACACGTTATCTCCCATTTCCAAGTACGGGATGGTTTGTCCTGGAGGTGGAGAATACTTAATTGCAGTTTTAACTTTTCTGTCTTGTCACCAGGTGGCAGGATTGACTGCTTTGGCTGTTGGTGTGTATTCAGCCCGTAATGCCACTGCGGTGGCAGGACGTTACATCGAAGCCAGGCTCGGGAAGCCTTCGCTGGTGCGTGAGACCTCGCGGTTCACTGTGGGTGAGGCCATCAAGCATCCTGTCAAGGTATCTAAATCTTACCATCATCACTATTGTTACTTATTATTATTATTATTATTATTATTATTATTGTAAGTGATGTCCGATAATATCGGATATTAGCCTAATTATGTAATATCTGTAAGAATCGTTTTCTGTTTTTCCTCCTTTAATGAAAACCCGAAAACACAATGTCTCGGTGTTGCCAAATGTGTGCCCTAAAAATAGTTTTGGGGATAATCAGCTGTATATTAAAGTGATGGCCACTAGATGGCAGTGTTGGACATCTCATTATTATTATTATTGTTCTTGTTATTATTGTTATTATAATTATATTTCAGAAGATTTCTAAAATAAGAAAAATACATAAGATATATTTGTTCCTCTCCTACATTTCAGACGGTGAAGCGGCTGAAGAGCAAACCTCAGGATGCACTGGAAGGAGTTGTTCTCAGCGTAAGTGGACGTCTGGCTCAGACCAGTGAAATGACAAAACCTGTATTTATTTTTTTTTTTTCAGGTTTTGTAACCACAAATTAATGAATTATTTTCCCGCAGCCTTCTCTTGAAGAGCGCGTGCGTGACATCGCAATAGCAACAAGGAACACCAGGCAGAACCACGGCCTCTACAGGAACATCCTCATGTACGGACCTCCAGGAACAGGAAAAACCCTGTTTGCAAAGGTAAAACCCACGGAACCACAGACGTGAACTGAGATTCACTCAAATGAGAGTTCACTGACAGGTTTCACCCTTGTGATGAGTAGAAGCTGGCAATGCATTCTGGGATGGACTATGCCATTATGACTGGTGGTGACGTTGCACCGATGGGTCGTGATGGTGTCACTGCCATGCACAAAGTTTTTGACTGGGCCAACACGAGTGGACGCGGGTACGATGCTTCAAAATTAAGCGTTTTTTTTTGTTATAATTGGGATGCTTCAAAATTAAGCGTTTTTTTTTTTTTTAAATTGTAAGTAAACTTTTTAAAAATTATTACTTTTCTGATGTTTTGTTTTTTGTCCCACAGGCTGCTGCTCTTTGTCGACGAAGCTGATGCATTCCTTCGTAAAAGATCCACTGTTAGTGCATGTGTTTAGTGGTGTATATTTTCTTGAGTCTTTCTTTTAAGACAAATATAAAATATTAATATATAATATTTTGCCTTTTTTGTAGGAGAAGATCAGTGAAGACCTCAGAGCGACCTTGAATGCTTTCCTGTATCGCACAGGAGAACAGAGCAACAAGTAAACAGTCATTCAAACTCAGTGAAGCTTCACATGTGTCTCGGTCGTCCTCTGAGCTGCTGACTAACCGTGTCCTCACCCGCAGGTTCATGCTGGTGTTGGCCAGTAACCAACCAGAGCAGTTTGACTGGGCCATAAACGACCGCATTGACGAAATAGTGAATTTCGCTCTGCCAGGTCCCGAGGAGAGGGAAAGGCTGGTGAGGTTGTACTTTGACAGATATGTGCTGGAGCCAGCTACCACCGGGAGGCAGTAAGTACCACCTCATGATTGTAAATGTAGCAGCAGTAGGAAGAGTAGAAGTAGAGGACTTCACTGAGTAACTCGTTTTAGAGTAGAAGTAGAGGACTTCACTGAGTAGCTCGTTTTTTTTTTTCTGCACTAAATAAAATGAAAACATTATCTTTTTGTTTTGTTCCTTCAGGAGGATGAAGCTGGCTCAGTTTGACTATGGGAAAAAATGCTCAGAGATTGCAAAGAGGACAGATGGCATGTCAGGAAGAGAGATCTCCAAGCTGGGCGTGGCCTGGCAGGTGGGTGTCGCCAAGGTTACAGTGATCTCCTCACTGTAGCCTCGGAGTTCATTGTTTTTATTTTATAACTATTATCAGGAAAATTAGTACAAACCTGAACCAGGGGTTGGAGAACCTTAGAGTACACACTATAATATACATTATACTGCATACAGTATTTATAAAGCACAATAATTAGCCTGCAATAATGTAATTAATAACGGTAGAGGTGATGTTCTTACCTCTGAGACTGATCGATGAGGTCACTAACCTTGATCTGATTGGTACAAAACTATTTTGAACAGTTCTCATTCATAAAAACGCATTAACTCGGTTTGATTTTTCTCTCAGGCTGCAGCATATTCTTCTGAAGACGGCGTCCTGACTGAGGCCATGATCGACGCCCGGGTGGACGACGCTGTCAAACAACACCATCAGAAGATGGACTGGCTGCGTGCCGAGGTGGAGGCTACCACCCTGACACCTCCCCCGGCCGGGTCACCCATGGGAGGGAAAATGGGCTTCAACCTGCCGCTCACTAAGCCGCCTGTGGCTGAGGAGGTGATCGCTCCGATTCTGGAGAGGAGCGAGGAAAAAAGTGATGCCGATCTACCTCCGTCAGACACGGAGAAACCAACAGAAAAAGACTGTGAAAACTTAGTAGAAAAAGTAGAATCGATATCTGAGTCTGTCACTGACGGGGAAACCAAGGCGGAAAAACAAGACAAGACTGGATCCTTACCCCCCAAGGATGGAACTCCTGTATGAGAAGCTTAGATTAAAAAAAACATCTGTGTCTTGTCCTTTATCTCGTCTGTCCGTCTTCGTTTAAAATTCCCGCGGGACTGTCTTCAATGACAGGGAAAAAATAAGGTTTGGAATTCCACATTCCATTCACTTTTAACACAAAAAGAAACTACGACGCACTAATACATGATGTGTACATTATAAAAGTACTGACGTACGAACCGGACACTGTAATAACAACCGCCATCTTGTGAAATGATTAAAACAAGTTTGTTTTTCTAAACGTCAAATGTAGAGATGTTTTAATGGTTTTTTTTTAATTAAGTTTGGGAATTAAGTAGTAATGGAAACATTTAAATAAAGAACCCGACATCCGTCAAGACAGGAGGACGTTAGAACATCAGAGAGGAACCGTAAAGAACGAATGCTCTTCAGTCCAGAAACCGCGACGTTAGAACATCAGAGAGGAACCGTAGTCCAGAACTGCTGTTGTCAGGATCTCCTGCTTTTTAAATATTGATTCAGTATTGACGGAGGGATTAAAGCTGCTGTTAAACCTTCAGTACTGAGTTCAGTGTTTGGTTGATTATTTATAAATAAGTCAATAATCTCAGTCTAGTTGGTGTAGTTTTTTTTTTCTTTCTCTTTTTCTTCGTGGCCTTTGTTAAAACGGTGTTCCGCCTGAACACACAAGTGAAGTATTTCATATCTAAACTGCAGTAAATCATAATTAAATGCAGTATTATGATTTATATAGTATTGCTATCTAAGCAAGTGTTCCTTGATTAGATACCGTGATTATTTGGCAGATAGTGTGTGTGTGTGGTTTGCCTGATCTGAATGAGATAAACAGTATCCAAGTGTCTTTTCTTAAATTTATTTAATTTTTTTTTTTTACTGAAAACATGTTTAAACTTTTACATAAATTGTCTGTTAAAATGTTTCTTTATTCAAGGTAACAAAAAAGCCAGTCAATATCTACAATCGATCTATTGAGCTATAGATATCTCTGAACCGGGTACGCAGGCCTCTAGTGGTAGACATGAGCAGTGCAGGTGATGGTGGTTTCATAATTTTAGGCCCAAATGCATTACATTGGTTGTGGCTGTTTTAAAAATAAAATATCTAGTAAAAGAGGGTATACCGTGGAGAAATTCAATTTATTTTAATTCAATTGGTGGTTGGTATTCAATAGCAGAACTATTTATTATTGTATAATTTATGTCAAATTTGAAAAACTACTGAATTGTTTTAATTATGTAGCATCCAGTAGACGGCGCTCTCGACGTTCTGTGGCTCTTAGGAGATTTGACTTCAGACGGTTTTTGGTCTCAAAATCATTTGACATGTAGTTTTTTAATCAAACAGTCGGTTGTAATGTTTCATAACAACCGTCTGTGGAGTCGACACGAGTGCTCACAGCGTGTCAAAGCAGCGCCCTCTAAAGGTCATCATGGACCATGCTGCATGACCACATCAGTTTGTGTTTTTTGGAGTGGAGTGGACTTGTCATTCACTCTTCTGAGTTCGTTAGATGTGAATACTGATACTGAGCTAATTACTATCTTTGATGGTTAAAAAACAGTAATAAAGTGACGAAAACACAAGTAAAGATCAGCTAATGTACAGACAGAGTGAATATGGAACCTACAGGCAGACTTTTTTTTTTTTGAGACTTTTTATATTTACTCATTTCGTATGTACATACAGAAGAGATAGGCACTCTGAGATGAGTTTACAGTCCGTAGGTAATTACAATGCTTCTGTTCAACATTTACAAAAGGACAAAAAAAAAAACATCTTCAAAGAAAACAAGTTTAAATATGGATCAACACATTATGCAGGAAGTTCATCATCAAAAGCCTTTCAGAGGTCTATGTTCGGTTTCGCCGTAGTCTCCCTGCCACTTTCACACAAGTCTGACTACAATTCACTGTAACTGACTTCACCTAATTCTCCTGATCAGTCGAGATCAGTGTCACTGTCACATCAGGAAAAACAACAACCACCAAAATCAATTTCTATTTTATAAATTCTTATCAAGAGGAAAAAACAAACAAACAAAAAAAAAACAGCAGCATCAATAGGCTGTAATAAAAAAAACAAACAAACAAAAAACATCAACAAAGAACTGACAACATGACAGGGATCTGTGAAGCAGTTGCATGACCCGGGCTTGGAAATGTGTGTTTATGGCTATGCCTGAGGAGACAATGTTGAGTGACGCGACTGGACTGAGGTGAGGACACTGTCCTGGCCTTAATCTGAAGGAATAAATACTCTGTATTTAGAGGAGAGAAAGAGAGGAAAAAAAAAAAAAAAAGCCATTCTCACCACCACCACGTCCAAGCGCAGCCACGTGTTAGGTCCTGACCGCAGCGTCTGTGTAAAGCACACTGTACGAGTGTGTGCATGCGTACTGTGTGTGTGCGCACATATGCATGGGCTGTTACCAACCACCCAGGAGAAGGAGTTGTTTATGTGTCTGATATTCTGCAGTTTCATTGCTTGTGATGTGGGCTTGGTGTTTATTGCAAACTTTGTATTGTTTTTATCAGTAGAAGCAGACGGTGTGAAGAAAAGGCCTGTTGCTCTTCTCCTCAAACTCCTGTATGAGCTCGTCGATTTCGTTCTCCATGTCGTCAGTGTGCTGGATCTGGAAAGAGATGTGCGGAACTTAGCTTAAAAAAATTCAAATCTATCTTTGAGATATATATATATATATATATAGAGAGAGAGAGAGAGAGAGAGACCTGTTTAACACTGGCTTATTTATAATTTTTCTAAGTAAATACATTAAACAAAATCAACTTCATATTAGCTATATTGTGCAGTACCAACATTGTCATCATTTCAAACCCCTGACAGGAGACACTCACACATTGACACAGCTCACAGATTAGGAAGGCGCCCAGCGTGGCTTCCTCATGGTTGTCCTGAATGTCTACATTGATAACATGTACAGGCTGCAGAGTCTCTTGCTCCCTTGAGTTAAGATCTGTGAAAAGACGAAAAAAAAAGAGGGAATTTGTCAAATGTCAAACAGATAAGAGAATAAATAGTCATGTAAAAACCGGCAGGAATATTCACCCTCCAGCACTTGGTCGTACACTCGCTCCTCACAGGTGACGACCAGGTCGAATCTGTCCTTGCAGTTCTGAAATCTCTCTGGCTTGGATTTGATGCGCTTGTTTCGGTCCAGCATGTGCAGGATGCCGTTCTGTGTGTATCTGGGGGAGTGGGCGGGTCAAGGACCACAACAGCTGGTGCAGAGAAACACTTCAGACACAATGCAACAGACTAACTACACCATGACAATCACGACGAGACAATGAGTTGCTGTGTGAGGCACTATTTTGCTGGCAGTAGGACGCGGGGTAATGCGTAATCAATTATAGAAGCTGCAGCACCATCTAGTGGGCATGCAGTCGCTTTACTACTCGTTTGCTGCTGGTATGGAAACAAAATAGGAAACTCAGTTTAGCATTTCAATTAAAATAAATGATTAAATTTAACATGCGTTTAATCAATTAATAATTGATAAACTGACTTCTGTTGTCTGTAACTCCAGTGAGCAGTGATACTACAGGCTACAAGAACATGAAGTGCATTGTCTTTAATAAAAATAACTTGCATAATTAAAAGGCACTTTTCAGTCAGTTCTCGTTCACATCACAGCCACATTGCAATGTAAACAGGGCATCTTTGATGTTAGTTTACACAATATATACACATATGCAGCTGCAGAATAGTGAACGCCTGTTGGTAGCTCCCTAACAGTGAAACAATTAATTTAACCCGAGGCAAATTAAATAATCCATTGAACATATAAAGGGTCAAACATAAAGACAAGCAAACATTCACCAAAATTAGTCATTAAATTTGTCAAAATTTCTGAAGTCTGACTTCTTCTTACACTATCCATTTTAAAGTGTTTTCAGTGCAAAATAAATCAGTGAACAGCATCATGTGACCATTTTCATCTTCAACTTACCTTTGGTTCTATAACTAGGAGAATTATTTTCAGTTTACCAAGACATCAATATGTCAAGTCCCCCCCGCCCCCTTTTTAAATCAGCTGTAAGACAAGTGTTTTTTTGCCAAAGACATTATCACTTACTCTTCATGTGACTTGCACTTTTTATGTGAACTGCAAGAAAATAAAAAGTCTGCAACTTATGACAAGAAAACACAGGGAACATGTGCAAAAAAGGTCATTAAAAGACTTTGTCCTAACCAGGCTACACTAACACAGCTGTGGTATTGCTATTCTGTACAGACATCAAACAAAATGTACAGTTTTTCTGAAACCCTGATAATTTACCTGTATGGGTATTTGAAGATGCTGAGCAATTCCGACACTGTTCACAAACTAGAAGCATGTATGTGTGTGTGTTGTGTGTGAGGGGGAAGTGAAAAGGGAAACAGGGGATACAGTTCCTTGTCCTTGCGGACCAAGTCGTTGTACATCTGTTCGTATGTTGTTTTGAAGTCATACACATTTGGCTTATCCGGTGCGGGACCAGGAAGCTTCACATGAGACCCTGTCCCAAAAGACCGCACATCAAATCCACGTTTGCTGTGAAGTGGGAAAAAAAAAAAAAACAAAACAAAGTGAAATTACATAATATATCTGGAATCAACATGAGGCACAGAATCCATTAGCAATCAACCAGTCATCCATGAAAAACTACAGAACATTTAGTCTCATCCTTTGGCAAAATGTGAACGAAATGTTTGTTGAAAAAACATTTGTTAAAAATAATTAATCTAAACATTATTGATATTGGTAACTTGAACGTGTGTGTCAGGATTAATACCCTTGGTTTGCTTCTTTATGACTTTTTTTTACCTGGTTGTTAATGTTTGGAAACCAATGGCTACTATTATTTATTTGTATTTTAGAGAATTTAAGACTATTAGTCTGTTGACTGAAGTAAAACAACAGCTAAATTCAGCAGATTTTTTTGAAAGCATCACCACACATTTATGTGTAGAAAGGAATAGTAAACCTAGTTTAACTGTAATAAATTTAAAAAAAAATTCTACCTCATATACAGTTTTGGGCCTGTCCTGTGTTAAACTATCCATCTCACACAAACAAACATAAAAGAAAAGTTTTAACAGGTGACTTCCAAAGTTTTTAGTCTGACACTAATTAGTTAAAAGTATTTTAGATAATTTATGACCTTCCTATTTTGAAAGTCCCTGTGTGAACAGGACAATTTGTTAGTAATTGTCTGATAACAATTTGATCTACAAATCTAAATCCTCAGCGGTGTAGTCATTCGACGATGACGCTGCAGTTCCCCATTTCCGGTGCACCACCTACGGAGGGGCGCTCTTCCCTTTAATAAGAGAAAACGTGTATAAAACCCTGTAACTTTCTTTGGAATAACGGCTGTAAACCTTTAATTTTAGTTTACAGAACCCTCACTAACAACCTTAGTGCGTTTCAAAGAAACATTAACGCAGCCGAGTCCCCGCTATCACTGTAGGAAGCAGGGAGTCCATTGTTAAAGTGCGCCGAGGCCTGACGGCTGCCAAAGATTCTGCGATTATCATGACCGGCCCAAAAAGAGGGAAAAAAGATGACTCGATGGAGAAGATTCTCTTCAGTTTGTGTTGTTTTTCCGTGCCCTTCTTCCAGTTGGCTCATCTTTACCTGAGGATATTGTGCGCTTCCATACTGCGGTTCTGGTTGCTCGAGCACACCACCGCCACACGCAGCGGGTGGCTCGGCATTTCGACTCTCCGGCTGAAACTAGCAGATAAAACCTGTCAGTAACTAAACAAATGTGCTTAGTATGGTTTATTTTAAGTAAATCAAGCAAGACCGCGCCCTGTCTTAAACTAAACAATAAATACTTTCGACGATAGACACCCCTACAACGCGCTCTTCTTCTTTTAAAGAGGGAGTCAAAATGGCGGAGTTTCGTGGGCGACATCGGTTTTGTTATGTGACGTTAGCAGAGGGTGGGGCTTAACACAAGTCAAATCATAATACAGCGAAATATTAATATAAATATATAATTCAAAACATTTAATAAAAACTTTAAAATTAACTTTTTTCATTAAACACAAACAACGATTTAAGTATTAGTCATTTCACACAATTAAAGTGCTTTGGACAGGATCCAGCCTCAAACTCAACGGGAAATACAACATGGCTGCTACACACTGAAGGTTCAAGGTAGGAACAATTCAGATCTTCTTCACCTGTGTGGAATAATTGTATGTATATGTGTGTATTATAAGGCTGTGCAAGACTATAATTTTTTGTTTTTCATGGTTCTCTCTGCCTTATGGCTTATCAGAGACTGTCAATAGCATTGTAAAATGATACAGGTACTTACTTACCTCCTGTACATAATGACCTGAAGCAAAATGTGGCTAAATTAGCACATTTCCTTGGACTTTTTTTTTGTTGTTTTGTGAATTGAAACGTTCTGTAGTTTAACATGTTTAAATCCAATGGTTTTATGGACACGTTATGTGATGTGACATATATTCAGTGGCTGTTGGGAATGTTAGGACAGGCTGTCATCTCAGGGCTGTGACTGATGGTAGTCAAATTGTACACATGTCAAACTTCATATCACCCACAGTTGGCTATTCTTATTTTGGTTACATAATGGTTTGGTGTCCCTCCTCCCCCTTATTAGAACACAACATTGCCTACATTGATGCAGAAACAGTGTTCACATTTTTTCTGAATACAGAGAATCATGAATCATGATATAGTGATAATGCTGTAGTCATTGAACACGTGTTTCTTATACACATGTAGCAAAGTAAATAAAGAAGAAGATACAACTTATAATTCCACATATTTCTTTTTATAGTCTAGACTAATCTAATTATCATTACTCTATGACCTCATTAGATGTCCCACATTTTAGGGGCTCAGTGTGTGAACTCAAGCTCTTAGGAAGAATTGCATTAGGCTCCTTGAAATGATGGGAGTCACATGGGCTTGGACTACTTCAAATAGCATACTTGATTGTGCTTGTTACAGCTGTGGATGTTATTAGGACCCACCACCCCCATTTGTTGACATGCCAGTAAATATCTACATTGCTGTGGAAACTTAAGCAAAATAACATAAAAAAATAAATAAAAAGGATCTGGCCCTTTTATAACATACAGAAAAACAATGACAGATGCTCGGTATTAAAAATGAGCTCATGGTACTTTATTCACTGACAGCAGGACATAAATGCATTCTTATTCAAGATGTTTGGCAAAGCATCTAGAGACTCTCTACAACACATTGTATTGTCCTCCACAAATGGTACAAGTACATACTGATAGCAGACTTGAAACGAAACAAGACTAAGGCGGATTTTTTAATTTTACCAAACAGCTGTTTGCGATCTCTTCAAAGCCGTTTACTGAATTGTATTGCTGTATAAATGTTGCCAGCACACATACTGACAGGCTCTGTCAGAGACAACCTTTAACACAGTCAACTTTAGTATTCAATAAATGTTATTTTGTCGTTACTTTTGGTTCAGTGCATTCTCAAAGAGATTTTAAAGGCATATTTTCTTCAGATCCACAGTAGATTGTGCTTCTGGTTAGTCAAAAATGTCGCTGTTATAAAGTATAAAGTAATTTGGACAATGAGCAACTGCTGTGATTTCATGTAGGTCAGTGTATTCTTTTTTTTGGACAATGAGCAACTGCTGTGATTTTATGTAGGTCAGTGTATTCTTTTTTTTGTTAGCAGACCATCAGTGACATGAATGAGTGCGATATGAATATGTGTGCTGAGTTGTGGGAGTCATGATGTTTTCTGTGATGTACGCCACCAGTAGGCAGATGATGACCAGCATCACACAGATAGCTCCCCCCACGGTTGTCATGGCAATAACAATGTCCTGCATCCCAGACGGTGGTAGGGTAAACTCGATACAGTCCCGCTGATCTGCACTCTGAGCCAGATTGGAGCGGGACAGGGACCGCAGGCAGAGTCGGTAGGGAATGTTTTCATGCAGATCGGTCAGGAGAAAGTCGCTGCAGCTGGATCCAAGATGGACCCCAGCACATTCAAACTGAGTGTAACTGCCATTCCACCAGCAGCTTAACTCGTAGCCTCCACGTCTGCTGTTAGCTGCTGTCTTCAATGTTTTTCCTTGGTCAGCCATTATGGATTCACCTTCTTGGCTCCACTGTAACAGTACACTGCCATTGATGAGTATGTTGGCCAACAGATTCCCCAAAGATACCACTGTCCTGCAGTCCGGTTTTTCACACTTGTACCCGAGCAGCGTGTTGCGAAAACACAGCTGCCCTCCAATGCCTCCCTCAAAGACTCTGTAGGCACAGTGTGATGACGCCTCTTCCTTTGAGCTCCGGCCGGGTGCCCAGTCAGACATAACAGTGCTTATGTTCTCTCTGCTGGTGTTGAAAGAGAAAGTGTTCACCTGAGCTGTCCCAGCCTCCAGCTTCGAAGACGATACCCCACTTTTCTGGCTCTGATTGCCATAGTTAGTGCTGATGTTAGTCTGTTTCTGTTTGAGTGTCTCCACATTATCCCTGCCTCTCATCACCTCTGATGGGGACGCTGTGGAGGATGATGTTGTCGATGATGGTGATGATGATGATGATGCTGGTGCCGATCTGCTGCCATGAAATGTGCCGGACCAAGCAGGTTCGGTCTGGTGTAATGTGCAGAGCATAAGAGCCGATAAGGCGAGCAGTGATGGAGGCTGCCTTTTCATTTCACCCGATGATTTAATCTGTCACAGTGGCACAAGGCGGACTGACGTCTGCCACAGGATCAGCACCGCTTCAGCGCACTCGATAAAACTGGTGTGGCGATAGACGGCGCGTCCATGTTTTATTTGGGACCGAATTGACATTTACCAACACAGCTCATGCGTCCTTCTAGCCAGAAAAAGATCCACGTATGACCTTGTGTAGGATAATAGCACACACAGTAAAGTTAATGAAGCGCGGACGTGTCGACCAGACTCACGGGCAGCGGTGGAGGACAATCACCTGTCTCGGTCGGAGCAGAGAACCTGGTTGTCGTGCCATAAAATCTGTCTTTATTCCAAAACACACTTCTTCTTCCTCCTCCTCTTCCTCTTCTTCTACTTGCTTGGTTTGACGTAAAGCCCTTTGATGGTGCCGACTGTATTGGAGTGCATGTGAAAGGAGCGCGCCCGGCACACACGCAGGAACGTGCGTGTTGAAAATGTTTGTAGATTTTTTAGTGAACAGTGCCGGATCCAGACTGTTGATATCAGGGGAGCAGGGTGGGCACAGGGTGGCCAGGTCTCCCCCCGTTTTTGAACTTCTATATAATAATATAAAAAATACTGATAATAAGAGTAAGGGGTAATGACACTGCATTAATAATAATAATAATAATTGTCAACATAATTCATTACACATTAAAACATGTAGTGATGTGGACTGTCCTGTCTGCAGTCCAGTAGTTAAGAGTTTGTCTCTTTAAAAAACATCTGATGCATCATAAAAAGATGTATCTGTACCTTTTATATAACTATAGGATTTTCACCCGCAAAAACTGCAACAGTTGGTTTCCTTAGTTGAAAACTAAAAAGAAACAAATAAACCAAACAAGTTCATGTTAAACGTTTGATTAAGATGTCTTCGGATAATGGAGGTTAAAAAAAAAAAGTACCTTTATTTTAAAAAGATTGAATTGAATAACTTTAAAACAAAGCTGTTCTATATTATTTGCACCCACATGTCAACCTTTATATTCATGTCCCCACTGCACCATTGTTTCCCACTGTACTTATAATTAAACCGTGCTTCGTTAAGATTTTTCTGCACAATGCTTTCCTCCTCCCAAGAGAGAAACTTGGCAACCCAACAAGACATTATTACCCAGGGAAGGGTGAACATGGCTGACTAATAAGAGTGAAGAAAAATGCTGCATCAATGGGACCGTGCATCACCTGTTCATGAAAGGCCAAGTCAGATAATTGGCAAAATCTCTGCCATTATTTGCTCCTTTGTATATTTCATTGTCTGATAGGTGTATGAATTACTTCAAGGTGACGCAGTTAATTTACAGTTGGTTAGTGAAGCAGAAAGAAAACATGGAAACTGCCTGCCTTTCCGTGTGCAGTGAATGCATCAGCATCCTGAGATAAATCGACCCTGAGTCTGGTCAGTAATTAACGTAATGAGGTTGTCTGTTTGTCTGTAGGAGTGGATATAAAATACGGGAACAAAGGGGAACAAAGCCTTGATGGTTTCTCTCCACTGTCACACTTGTATTCCACACAATGAAAATATTGCCGCGCAGAAGATGATGCCATGTCAGAAAACCTCACTGTAGAAGCCATTTTGTTTGGGCTTCTGGTTTTTTCTGGGATCCTGGGAAACATCTTGGTCATCTATGTGGTGAGTTGAAAGCATCTGTAGCATTTGATCTCGTGAGGCAAATTCTGGTGGAAAGTTCTTCCTTAGTTTGTCTTCATTTTAATTTCAGGTGGTTCAGGCAGCCAGTGAGAGTCCGTCTCGAAGACTCGCACCTTCGGACACAATTCTGGTGCACCTGTCACTGGCCAACCTGCTGACTTCACTTTTCCGCACTGTTCCTATCTTTGTGTCTGACCTGGGTTTGAATGTGTCTCTGTCTCCGGGCTGGTGCCGAGTCTTCATGCTGCTCTGGGTGTGGTGGAGAGCCGTGGGCTGTTGGGTGACTCTGGCACTCAGCATTTTCCACTGCACCACCCTCAGGCGACAGCATGTGACCTTTGGACCTCTTGCACAGCAGAGGGAGAGGAGGCGGGTGTGGATTGTTCTGGCGCTGGTGTGGGGGGTCAACCTGGCCTTCTCTATTCCAGCTCTGGTGTACACCACCCACGTTCATGGCAATACCACCGTGGAGCTAATGGTAATTAGCTGCACCACGAGGCCTTTGCTGGGCTGCATCTGGGAGTTCCCCACCCTGCAGCAGGGATCAGTATTTGCCTCGACTTCACTGGCGTTTAATGAGGTGTTGCCTCTGGTGCTGATGATTTTCACCAACTTGGCCACACTCCATGCCCTAGCCAAGCACATTAGAGCCGTCACCTCAGGAGGAGAGTCAGGAGGAGCTCATGGGGAGCTGGACAAACATGTGTCCACTGAACGAAAGGCAGCTAATGTCATCATGTCTCTGGTGGCACTCTTTGTGGTCTGCTGGGTGCTGCAGGTTGCTGCGGTGACGTACTACAATCATGATGGGGGGCACCATGCAGAGGGGCTGTTGACTGTGGCCCATTTTTCTGCCTCACTGTTTGTTGGATTCAGTCCCATGATAGTGGCGCTGGGACACGGCAAACTGAGGAGGAGAATCACAGACATGATCCTGGGCTGCTCTAAATGTCTCAAATGTCACAGTAAAGTTTCCCAGGAGGAAAGTAACTTCCCAAAGACTGAAACAGAAAATGGAAAACAAACTATTTTTGTTGTTCAAAAGAAGTGAAAGTCATTCCTGTAGACAGAGAGAGACAGAGAGAGAAAGCAGAGGCTGGGGTGAAGTATTACGTTGTAATAAGTAGCTTTTTGTTGTCTTTTGAAAAATACAGTAAATCTAATAAAAATATAATTTTTATCTTTTGATTTCTATTTTGCAAATCTATATTCTTAATTACATCGAGATTATACACTTTATTAACCCTGGGTGTTAAGGACTTAAATGTATATATTGTGAATATTTAAATTGTACTAGAATTGTTGTGGCGACTGTATAAAATAATCGAAATTGAACTGGCTTGTGTTTCCTGAAGATGTTTCTAAAAACCTCTAAAAATTAGATGTCTATGAGTAACCCAAACAATTCTGAACTGTACACTCGTCCTTTTTTTTTTTTTTTTTTTTTTAATCTCTCCCCTAAGACATCCATTTTTTTTTTTTTTTTAATCAGCCAGTCAACTAACATGAAAAAACAAAGACTCTCCCCTAAGACATCCATCGATGAATCCCAATGCAAAGTCAGACTGTTGTCTATTGTTGTCAAGATTTCTTCTTCATCTCCAGTGTGATAGTCCCTGAATCCTTTGAAAGCAATTAGATTGTTTGCCTCAATTTGTCCGTACGTGACTTCCGTATATTTTTTCCCCGTTCAAAGTTGTGCCCATGTCGTCCAAATGGACACGTAGGACTGGAGATCCAGCCAGGTGTCTACACAGATGTCTAAAGGTGGTGGTCTTAATCATTTTCATTTTAGTAGAGGAGAACAAATTGCCTAGTCAGTAATTGTAGTCATAGAAATAGTAGTTTACTTGTTGTCTAATTCTAACAGTTTTAGTAGATTATTGAGTAACTATTTGTTTTTGTGATCAGTGGCAGATCAGATCTTTACAGTCAATCACATTGGAGTCAGTAAAAGAGCAAAGATTTGATGGAAGCCCTGAGTCTTCTGTGTCCGACTGCCAAAATCGCAGGCGACATGGCGATAAAGGTGATGTTGGCAAATCGTGCAATAATCAGAAGATACTCAGCCGAGTTGCCACGGCTGTAGTTGAAATAGTTGACGGAGATGATGCTGGTTCCCCAGGATGCAATGAAGAGCATAATGAGTGCAAGGATCACCTGGAATCACACAAGGAGGGAGTCAGGTGACGTACACGGCCACTTTGAGACCAATTAAAATGTTAAAACCAATGAAGATACGCTGGGTTAGACTCGGTGTTATTTATTTTACCTTGCCTGGTGTAGTATGTTCATCAACAACAGGCAACTTCACCACTAGATGCTGCTATACTATAAATTGTCTACCTTTAAATAATTTTGGCCAATAATTTACAAGACCAGCTGCTCCGTCTCACCTTGGCTGCTCGTCTCTCGGCCGGCACTCGTTTTATGACCGGTCCGTCTTGCACTGAGCTGCGCGTCCTGCCGTGTGTGTAGAGTGTGTACAAGGAGCCCAGGTTGGTGAAAGCCATCAAGATTATAGGAATTGTCTCATGGATCACAATGGATGTAGTCGCATAAGCAAGGCCACTGTAGGTGGATGGAAAGTTCCACACGCAGCCCAGCAGGGGGCGTGTTGTGCTGCTCACAAGCATCAGGGTCTGAGCACAGGAAAGAAGAATAAGGATGAGGGAAGAGAAGAAGAGTTGAAAGTTTATAGTCCTTATAGATGTTTCCTGATCTTCTTTGATATAATGTCAGTTGTGGTGAATATTTATAAGAAACCTCTAGGCTGATGATTCAGTGTCTGTACATATCCTTTTTTTTTTTAACATTACAGGGGTTAGGGTTAGATACTGTTTTAAAATTTCCAAATGTTACTCCAGATAGAAGGTAGTTATATTTTTTTCTTGCATCATCTTTGGTACCATTTTTATGCAGGCACTAGTTTTAACGTTTTAGCAGTGACGTCACAACTAACATGATACATTTAAAATTGCAGTTATAGCGCCCTCATTTTCACCTTCCCCACTGATTCATTTTATAAATTAAATCATCAGGCAGGAAGTGGACATTCACCTCTGTAGAGTTCACATTCCCGTTGGGGGAAAACACATGAGCAGGAGTGAAAGTTGAGCAGCCAGATGAGGCCGAGACTCAGCAGCAGTGTGTGCGCTGCTCCCCGAGGTCCGTGGAAGTTCCCGATGGTGGGAGTCACTCGCCTCAAAGTTTGGAAGTGGAAAGCGCTGAGGTAGAGGGTTGACCACACGTTTACAGATCGAAGCCACACCCAGATGCCCATCAAGAACTGGCACCACTCTTTAGATGAGTAGAGCTGTCAGAAACGAAAGGTGTTGAGGGACTGAAATGATAAATCCTCATTTATGTACAACGATTTCAAACGCAAAGAAGATTGATCCAAGAAAGCTAAAATAATGTCGCTACACCCACGCTAGACATTTGAACTGTAAGACTATGTTGTAAACAGAAGAGAAATAAATACATTTATATGAAATTATAAATTAAAATGAATAGGTAAAGAGAAACTGACATTACTGTACCTCCAGTCCCAGGTCTGAAATAATAAGCAGCGTGTTCCTCATCACAGACACCATCAGGTTGGACAGTGCCATGTTAATGATGATGATGTCTGAGTTACGTCCTCCGCCGCGGTCCACAAACACACTCTTACCAATCACCAGCACCACCGTGGCGTTACCCAGGATGCCCAGCACCACCAGCAGCATGTAAAAGGCGGTTTGTGCCGTGGACACAGAGACTCGAAGTCCCATTCCCACGAGGTCTTGGTCTTCCTCCGCATTCATTGTGTCGTCCATTGCTGCCACTGATTTTCTCATTCTCCTCCTTGAAATTGTTAAGACAGATTCTGGTACGGCTTCCAAGGAGGTTTTACTTCATTTTTTAAAAATATATATTTAACTCAAACTCCTGCTAACAACATGCCAAAATGATCTCTCCTGCGGCTCGAAGTCATTCAAGACTCTGAGAGGAGGAGGAGGAAGAAGGTTTGGCCTTCAAAAAGCCAGAAACCAAACCTGTTCCTGGTCCTTTGGGAGTTTGAGGAACACAGTTAATGAAGCACAGGAGATTAATCAGCTTCTCAAAGAGAAATGTGCTTTCCTTGCAACTTACATGCCAACGTCATGGTCCTATAGAGAATGATCTGGTGTGTCTCCCATTTGTATGTATATCTTTGACCTTTCAGCCAATGGACTTAAATATTTTTAATGTTGTAGTTTATCTAAGCTGCTAGTATTAAATACCTTAAGTAACGTTAACTTCGGAATCACCAGTGTTACGAATAAATCGAGATCATTAAATTTAAACAACATAATGTAGCGTAGGGCAGTTTCACTAAACTATATACAAATATATTCATTGCTAATAATACATGTGCTTATTATTATTATAATTATTATAATTATTATTAATTGTTTTATATTGTGTTTAAGTTATATGAAATAACCATCAACCCGAATGACAAATTTATTGACAGATAACAAATGTTAGTGTATCAGATACCTAAAAGATATATGCTTACAGCCCACTGCCACAAGATGGCACTAGAAACAAACATCTACCATAATACCAATGTGAAGGACTCACTTTGATACCAAATTCAAAATCCCGTTTCTTTTTTTTTTATTATTAAAAAACATACACATGTACAACACAAAGAAAAAAACATACACATGTGTACAACACAAAAAAAAAAACATACACATGTGTACAACACACAAACCACACAATACCACACAATAAAACAGTTAATTATTCATTACATACAGTAAAACTTTTTGTGACATTTTTGGCTTTGATTTTTAGTGAAACAAAGTTTTGTGGCTCAGAAAAAGTTTGAAAACACCGGCATAAAGTTCTTGTTAAAAACAAGCAGAACATTCCAGCCTTTGAGTGAAACTAACCTGACTCATTGATGTCAAATTAAATAGAAGTTAAATATACATTTGGAAATAGCATATTGGTCCAAACAACTCTCCCTGGCACTATTACAGTAATTACAAAGTAAAGTAATGAGTGAATAAATTACATTATATTCATCATTTTTGACATTGTTGAATAAAACACATTAAAAAGCCGTTAGAAAAATAAATAATTATTGTTTGTAACAATAATTGCTGTGATAATGACAGTGAATAAGTCTATAGTCTAGTATCGTACGCAGCTCTGTGGTCCTGACACTGTAAACAGTTTGACATTCTGAACAGTAATGTCGTTGATTGGTGATATTTCCTCTTGCAGGAAGAAAAATTGCAATTATTTTTGGTATTTACTCACACAATGTGGAAACAGCGGGCTGGCCTGACAATGGCTTTTCCCGTCACAATAACTTTTTTTTTCTGGATGAAAACCAAACTAGACTCAAGAAATTAGCCGCGGTGCATCCAGCACTGCAGCCGCTTGATTTCATCCTGGAGGAATGCTGCAGTTTCTCACTGGCTGGAATCTATCAAGGAGCAGAGACAGGGAAACAGGAAATGACCTTCAACGAACTAAACTCGCCAAGCATGAGCATAATTAGAAAAATGGAGAGAAAAAAACCCAAAACAAACAACAACAGATGGTTAATGTTGAGCTAAGCTAACCTGTGTGATTATTTGCTGTGCAGCAAACGCCGTCCCCTTGTCCTGAACTGTAGACTGGAGACACACACACTCGGCCCCCGGGACGGACGTCTCTCAGCCTCATTGAACGAGTTGACGGAGACAAGTAGATGGAGGAGGAGTAAGAATTTGAGGAGGACGATTTGGAGGATTTTCTGTCCCATTTAAGCCAGAATCCTTTTAGACCTTCTTCTCTAAGAGCCGTCCAAACTATTTGAACTTCCTGATTTTCCGCTGGTGTCAACTGTAGCTCAACCAGTGCTGGCAGAACTGCAGCAAAAAAAAAAAAAAGAATCATTGATAATCTGTCAAAGTCAAAATGAATAGCAAAATAAAGTTAGCAACGTTTAGCATACCCTCTGTGGTGTAGGCTCTTACGGACATGGCTCTTTCTCTGCCGTCCTCATGCACAGCACTAACTGTGATCAGATATTCGGTGCCTGCCTCCAGGCCCGTGAGCAACACAGATTTTTTACGGCGGTGCAGCGTCACAACCTGGACACTTCCACTTGGAAAAACTCCATATTCTACCTTGTGTCTCTGGGTTAGCTCTGGCTGCAGGGGGCCCCAGTTCACACGCATCTGATGAGGACCAGAGTCTGACACGGTGACCACAGCCGGACTCGAAATATCTGAGACAAACCCAAAGAAGAAGGGACACTTTATAAGACATGTACTATTTATAATTAGAGGATGCCAGTCTAAAAGAGAAAAAAAATAATTAAATTTGGCTCTTTAATTTAAAATAATTTAATATATTATTGTTAGGTAAATTGTCATGTTAATATTAAACAACAATGAAAAAAATAATAATTTAAAGTTTGGATCTCTGTAGTCCCATCTCACCAGGGAGCGTAGTAAAAGTAACAGAGAGTGCGTTAAACGGCCTCTGGTTGGACTCTGGCTGGAGCGACGCTGTGTAAACAGTGTCCGGCTGGAGGTCAATCAGTCTGACCGAGGACGAGTCTCCAGGAAGAATCCGTCTGGTCACTGTGTCCGCTTCTGACACGGAGTTATACCTGAGCTCGTAAAAATCGCCCTCTGCTGTCAGAACAGGACTCCACTGCAGCACAGCACTGTGGGTCGTCAGCTGGTTCACGTGTAGCGTTTCGGCATGAAAAGATTCTACGTAAAAGACAATTATTATTATTAGACATTCACAGCATTGTCCTGGCTTTTTTAACTTTGTCCTTTTTTATACAGTATGTAGGAATGTCATGATCTGATACTCGGGTTTTGAACCATCCCTGTTGATATTTATGGTCTATGATCATATCAGAAAAATGTGAAAATTTTAACGTGGTAAAGAATATGCTCAAAGACACACACATACTGATGATGGTCTTTCTCAGCTCCTCTGTGATGATGTCAATGTCATCCATGTCCACGGTGTAGAGGTTGGCCTCCAGGGGAGGAGTCACTGCCTGTTGTAACAGGTGGTAGTTGGCGTGTACGGTGGCTACGATCATCACAGTCACTCCCCGCGTCTTCAGTTCCGTCATGGCCTCCGTCACGTCTCCAGGCTGCGCTCCATCAGTCAGCCACAGCAGGATCTTTGGCTCCTCCTCCTCCGCCTCAGACAGGAGTCGCTGAGCCAACCTCAGGGCCTCCACCGTGTTGGTGTTTCCCCTCAGATGCCTGACAGTCTGCAGGGCTTCCTGCAGACTTCTTTGACTCTTGTGGACATCCAACCCAAACTCCAAGTGTGGGCTGGTGCCCACTTGCAACAGCCCCACTCTAACGTTCCCATTGTCCAGTGTCAAAGGGCGGAGCAGTTTGGAGGTGAATCGCAGCAGCTGAGAGAACTCATAGTCTGATAAACTTCCTGAAGAGTCCAGTAGAACCAGAATGTTTCTGTTCAACCCTGGGAACAGATAATGTACAAATGTACCGTTAGCTTTCAACTGTATCTACGTATGGTGCCATCTTGTGTAGTGCATAGATTGCGAGAATGGGAGAGGGAGATTAGTCCGCAGCAAAAAAAAAAAAAAAGAATCATTGATAATCTGTCAAAGTCAAAATGAATAGCAAAATAAAGTTAGCAACGTTTAGCATACCCTCTGTGGTGTAGGCTCTTACGGACATGGCTCTTTCTCTGCCGTCCTCATGCACAGCACTAACTGTGATCAGATATTCGGTGCCTGCCTCCAGGCCCGTGAGCAACACAGATTTTTTACGGCGGTGCAGTGTCACAACCTGGACACTTCCACTTGGAAAAACTCCATATTCTACCTTGTGTCTCTGGGTTAGCTCTGGCTGCAGGGGGCCCCAGTTCACACGCATCTGATGAGGACCAGAGTCTGACACGGTGACCACAGCCGGACTCGAAATATCTGAGACAAACCCAAAGAAGAAGGGACACTTTATAAGACATGTACTATTTATAATTAGAGGATGCCAGTCTAAAAGAGAAAAAAAATAATTAAATTTGGCTCTTTAATTTAAAATAATTTAATATATTATTGTTAGGTAAATTGTCATGCTAATATTAAACAACAATGAAAAAAATAATAATTTAAAGTTTGGATCTCTGTAGTCCCATCTCACCAGGGAGCGTAGTAAAAGTAACAGAGAGTGCGTTAAACGGCCTCTGGTTGGACTCTGGCTGGAGAGACGCTGTGTAAACAGTGTCCGGCTGGAGGTCAATCAGTCTGACCGAGGACGAGTCTCCAGGAAGAATCCGTCTGGTCATTGTGTCCGCTTCTGACACGGAGTTATACCTGAGCTCGTAAAAATCGCCCTCTGCTGTCAGAACAGGACTCCACTGCAGCACAGCACTGTGGGTCGTCAGCTGGTTCACGTGTAGCGTTTCGGCATGAAAAGATTCTACGTAAAAGACAATTATTATTATTAGACATTCACAGCATTGTCCTGGCTTTTTTAACTTTGTCCTTTTTTATACAGTATGTAGGAATGTCATGATCTGATACTCGGGTTTTGAACCATCCCTGTTGATATTTATGGTCTATGATCAGATCAGAAAAATGTGAAAATTTTAACGTGGTAAAGAATATGCTCAAAGACACACACATACTGATGATGGTCTTTCTCAGCTCCTCTGTGATGATGTCAATGTCATCCATGTCCACGGTGTAGAGGTTGGCCTCCAGGGGAGGAGTCACTGCCTGTTGTAACAGGTGGTAGTTGGCGTGTACGGTGGCGACGATCATCACAGTCACTCCCCGCGTCTTCAG